GAAACTAAGAGCTGATTCTTTGAGAGGCTAAACAAAACTGACAAACCCTTAGCCAGACACATCAGGAAAAAAAGAGAGAAGCCTCCACTAAATAAAATTAGAAATGCAAAAGGAGAAATTACAACAGATACTGCAGAAATACAAAGGATTATAAGAGACTACTATGAAAAACTATACGCCCACAAATTCGATAACCTAGAAGAAATGGATGAATTCCTACACTCATACAACCTCCCGAAACTGAATTGAGAAAAAATAGAGAATCTGAATAGACAAATCACAAGTACAGAGATTGAAACAGTAATCAAAAACCTCCCAAAAAGCAAAAGTCCAGGACCAGATGGCTTCTCTGGAGAATTCTACCAAACATTCAAAGAAGATTTAGTACCTATCCTTCTCAAACTATTCCAAAAAATTGAAGAAGATGGAACACTTCCTAACATAGTCTATGAGGCCAAATCACCCTGATAGGACAACATCCTGACAAGGACAACATGAAGAAGGAAAACTACAGGCCAATATCACTGATGAACTTAGATGCAGAAATCCTCAACAAAATATTGGCAAACCGAGTACAGCAATACATTAAAAGGATCGTACACCACGATCAGGTGGGATCTATTCCAGGGATGCAGGGATGGTTCAACATCCACAAATCAATCAGTGTGATACACCACATTAACAAAATGAGGAATAAGAATCACAAGATCATTTCAGTAGATGCAGAGAAATCACTTGACAAGATCCAACACCCTTTTACGATAAAAACTCTCAATAAAATGGGTATTGAAGGAAAGTATCTCAACACAATAAAGGCCATGTATGACAAACCCACAGCCAACATCATACTCAATGAGGAAAAACTGAAAAACCATCCCCCTGAGAACAGGAACAACACAAGGTGCCCACTCTCATCACTCCTATTCAACATAGTAATGGAGGCATTGGCCAGAGCAATTAGGCAGGAAAAAGAAATAAAAGGAATCCAAATTGGAAAGGAAGAAATGAAACTCTTGTTATTTGCAGATGATATGATTCTCTCTATATAAAACTCTAAGGAATCCACCAGAAAACTATTAGAAATAATCAATAATACAGTAAAGTTGCAGGATACAAAATCAATTTAAAAAAAATCAGTTGCATTCCTATACACTAACAATGAACTAGAAGAAAAAGAAATCAAGAATACAATCCCATTCACAATGGCAACAAAAAGAATAAAATACCTAGGAATAAACTTAACCAAAGAGGTGAAAGATCTGTACACTGAAAACTACAAAACGTTACTGAAAGAAATTGAAGAAGACACAAAGAAGTGGAAAGACATTACATGCACATGGATAGGAAGAATAAACATAGTTAAAATGTCCATACTACCTAAAGCAATCTATAGATTCAATGCAATCCCAATCAGAATCCCAATGACATTCTTCACAGAAATAGAACAAGGAATTCAAAAATTTATATGGAACAACAAAAGACCCCGGATAGACAAAGCAAACCTGAGAAAAAAGAACAAAGCTGGAGGCATCACAATCTGTGACTTCAAAAGCTATAGTAATCAAAATAGCATGGTACTGACACAAAAATAGACAAACCGATTAATGGACCAAAATTGAAAGCTCAGAAATAAAACTACACATTTATGGACAGTTAATCTGACAAAGGAGCTGAGAACATGCAATGGAGAACGGAAAGTCTCCTCAATAAATGGTGCTGGGAAAACTGGGCAGCCACATGCAAAAGAATGAAAGTAGACCATTATCTTGCACCATACACAAAAATTAACTCTAAATGGATTAAAGATTTGAATGTGAGACCTCAAACCATAAAAATCCTAGAAGAAAATATAGGCAGTACACTCTTTGACATTGGTCTTAGCAGCATCTTTTCGAATACCATGTGTACTAAGGGAAACAAAACAAAAAGTTAACAAATGGGACTACACCACACCAAAAAGCTTCTGCAAAGCAAAGGAAACCATGAACAAAATGGAAAGACAACCCACAAACTGGGAGAAGATATTTGCGAATCATTTATCAGACAAGGGGTTGATCTCCAAAGTATATAAAGAACTCATACAACTCAACAACAAAAAACCAAACAACCCAACCAAAAAATGGGCAGAGGATATGAACAGACATTTTTCTAAGAAAGATATACAGATGACTAACAGACACATGAAAATATGCTCAACATCACTAATCATCGGGGAAATGCAAAGCAAAACTACAATGAGATATCACCTTACACCAGTCAGAATGGCTATAACTACCAAGACGGAAAACAACAAGTGTCGGAGAGGATGTGGAGAAAAGGGAACCCTCATACACTGCTGGTGGGAATGCAAACTGGTGCAGCCACTATGGAAAACAGTATGGAGATTCCTCAAAATACTAAAAATAGAACTACCATATGACCCAGCTATCCCACTACTGGGTGTCTACCCAAACCATTTGAAACCAACAATCCAAAGTAGCATATGCACCCCTATGTTCATTGCAGCTCTATTCACAATAACCAAGACATGGAAACAATCCAAGTGCCCATTGACTGATGATTGGATAAAGAAGATGTGGTATATAGATATATACAAAGGAATACTACTGAGCCATTAAAAAACACAAATTCATCCCATTTGCAACAACATGGAAGGACCTGGAGGGAATTACGCTAAGCAAAATAAGCCAGACTGAGAAAGACAAACACCAGATGATTTCACTCATATGTGGAATACAAACACACGGACAAAGAAAACAGTTCAGTGGTTACCAGAGGAAGCGGGGTGTGGGGTGGGCACAGGGGGTGAGGGGGGCACTTCTATGGTGACAGACAAGAAATAATGTACAATTGAAATTTCACAATGATGTAAACTATTATGAACTCAATAAAAAAAAAAAAACACCTATTTCATGGGGTCATTGTGAGGATTCAAGAAGTAAATGCTTGCCTGCCATGTAATGAGCACCTGACACAGATTAAAACACTGCTATTTCTGTTATTATTACTGGTGTAATACTTCTCCCTACATTTAACCTGTATCAGGAGTCAGGTGACCCACCGAGAATTCTGAGAAGATGCATTGTATATTAGAAACAGATGGATGTAGATGAAGACGTGGAATCTAAAAGATGGGTCTCTGTATGGGGAAGAGAAATATTGTTTTCTATAAACTAAAACATTCATTCTTAATCAAGCATTAAAAGATTTTGACATTAGGAAGTCATTCCTAGGGGAGGAACCCCACTATATGGGGTCCAAATATGAGTGCTATGATAAGAAAAACTAACACCAGATGTATGTGCACAGTTGACACCATGCAGCCTACAAGCTCTTTGCGATGGAGCAGCTGCCCAGAGGGCTGTTTTGGGGGTTCTTAAAGGTCCCAAACCCACACAGCTCACCCAGTCCTACATGGCTGTAGGCGGTGTTGCTGCTTCCGCTGCTGAGAACCCACTGCCCTCCTCTGCGGGAGAGCTTAAGAATCTGGCCCTCCCCAGCCGCCTCCTCCTCCAGTGCGTGTGCTTTGGGCCCATTTAGGCTTTGGAAAAGCAGTCTGTTAGGGTGCCTTGGCTTGGCTCAAGGACAAGGAGGTGACCTAAACAGGCCCCATCAGAGGACATCCCAGGATTTATATAGACCGGGCCTAGAAGGTATGCGTTACTTCCTGGTGGATTGGGGGCAGTTCTGAGACATCTGTCTTGCTCCCACAAGGGCACCCTCTGTGAGAAGGAAACTCATACAGAAGAAAGAGTGTCTACAGGTTGGGGGCGGGGCGGAGAGGGAGAGAGAGAATGTTCTCAGGGCGTCTTTTGAAGTTCTGAATAAAACCCCCTTAAGCTAACCTGACTCTCGACTTTTCAACTGTCTCAGCCAACAACTTTTTTAAAATTTACATCAGGGTGGGTGGGGTATCCTGTTACTTCCAACCTTTAAAAATTAACTGCTATTATTGCTAACATCTGAAATGCACCCATTGGGGGGCTGTTGCCTCTTAAAACTCAGCATCCTTGGGAGGCACAAGGTAACATGTCTTCGCATAATTTACAATTCAGCGCGAATGAGTTTTCCAGTGCATTTCCCGAGGGAAGGACTGGATAGGGCTGGGGGAGAACAGGCGCTTATTGGGCCTCCGGCTGGGGAGGGAAGAGAAAGCAAATATAAGTAAAAGGACCAGGGCTTTAAAGGGAGACAGCCTGCTGCCAAGAGATTGTCCAGGAGCCCGCACAGGTGGTCGAGATGCATCTCCAAGGACGCCTTGGCTTTCTATCTCCAGGGCCTCCAAATGACACCAAAATATCACACACACCAAGTGACTCTCTCAACACCCGAGATTCACAGCACGGCACAGTGACAGCATGTGGGCTGTGGGCTTTGATTTGTAAGTTGTGCATCAGGCTGTGGAGCCTGTGGATTGACGTGAGACTGCCGTCGTGAGGGGTTCCATTTTCCCTCAGTCCACTGTATTTCTGAGGGTGATTTCATGAGTCCCAGGAGCACTCACGTCATTCCAGATTTTAGGGCAAAAACATAAGCAAGGCCTTCCTTGGTGACTGGTGTTGTCAATCTAACTCACATTGCTTTGCACAAAGGAGACCATGGGCTCACACTTAGGAAAGGTCCCGGTGATCTGCCAGGATTCCAGCTCTGAGCAGTGTCACAGGGACTGGCTTGTTCTGCCTACTGGTTCTGGTTTCCTCTGCTGTGTTTCCTTCTCTGGCAGGCTCTTTTCTCAAGATGGTACCTAGAAACTCCAGTATATCCTCCCAAGGGTAATGAACAAGAACAGAACAATAGGGGGGCCGGCCCCGTGGCCGAGTGGTTAAGTTCACACACTGCACTTCAGTGGCCCAGGGTTCGGATCCTGGGCGCGGACATGGCACTGCTCGTTAGGCCACGCTGAGGCGGCATCCCACATCCCACAACTAGAAGTACCCACAACTAAAATATACAACTATGTACTGGGGGAATTTGGGGAGAAAAAAGCAGCAGAAAAAAAAAGGAAGATTGGCAACAGGTGTTAGCTCAGGTGCCAATCTTTAAGAAAAAAAAAAGAACAAAAGGAAAGAAAATATGTCTCTAGACAGAGTTCCAGCCAAAGTCTGAAGATTGCATCCCCTTGGCTGGGATTGGACACCGGGTCTCTCCGTGAGCTAATGACAGTGTCCAGAGGGATGCAAGGCTTTGATGGGCCACCCTGAGTCACATGGCCACTGGACGCTGAGGCAGAGACAATACCATTACACTGCATGGATTTAGTGCAAGGATATGGAGGAATTTTCTAGAGAAAATCAGGTTATTGTTATCAGAAGAAGGGCAAATGAAAGCTGGAGAGGCAAAGCATAAAGTCCACTATCGGAATCAGCAGTGTTTCATAAAGCTGTACAACCAGGAAGAAACTCAGATGGATAACATAACTAATTCATAATATATAACCAGCAAAGAGACTTTCTAGAGTATAAAATTACGCACACAATGTTGCAAACCTGAAGCTAAAAAAAATGTAAGCAATAGACCTCCCTCGAGTGTGTGTGTTTCTGAGATCTTCTCTTCTGTGGGTTCACCGTCGCGGTTTCCTTAGTGCTCACCCCGGGCCCTGGCTACAGAGGGTACGCAATAAATGACAACCAGATTGAACTGCATATGAATTCAGCGATAAGAAATAGCAACACCGGGCAGAGTTGTCACAGTCGACTTGAAGGAGGAAGCACATCTTCAACTGGATCTTAAAAAGTAGGAACAACATGGACGGAGCCGGACCAGGCTCAGCGGTCTCTTGCTCTGACCCATCTTTCACACTTCTCCATGGCAAAAAGTAGGCTCTCAATAAATGCTTGTTTAGCGAAATAACAAAGTAGTCCAGTCTCCCCACTGCTTAAATTCTTACAATGATGATCCTTCCATTTGCAGGATCAAATTAAACTCCTTAAACTGGCATTCACGGCTGTCCAGCATCTGAGTTAGACTTACCTCTCCAACTACATCTCGTTGCATGCTAGCACGTGATCTTTGACTAGTGAACTGAGCCTCCGTTTCCTCGTTTTTCAAATGAGGATCTTACCTGTCTCAGAAGGTCCAGACTGTCACCTTGACTGGCACACAGCAGATGCTCCATAAAAGGGAGTTACTATTTTTGGAATTATCATGAACAACAATCTTCCTATATTCAAGCCATGCTGAGCTATGGTAGTTTTCCAAACATCCCATGATTTCTCACCTCTGTACCACTATCTTAATTTGGAGTCACTTGAAAGCAGAGCCTGAGACAAGGATTAGGTGCATGTAGGGAGGTGATTCTTGGCAGCAGGTGTGAGGAAAGCAAGAAAAACAAGGAAAGGACGGGACAGAAACAACAATAAAAGGTGTGTTATTGACCAGAATTGTTCCCAGGGCAGCTTCCCTCCTGGTCTATTTCTGTGCAGTGAGATCTCCTGACAGAAGTGGCAGAATAACCAGAACAGGATGGGGGCTCCTGTGGGACCCAGAGGACCTGCTGGTCAATGAACACTGATGCTGACCTGACAGCAGATTTCTGTGGGGACAGGAAGGTGTCCACTTGCCTTAATTACGTCTTCATCAGACGATCTGCATTCCACAGACTTCAGCAGATCCGTCACGGTGCCGTCCTCCTCCACAGAGACCACCTTCACCGGAACGGCCACCGTCTTCCCCGTGAGGATGGCTGTGTTCAGGATTTCCGCCTCCTGGAAGAGCAAACACACCCTCCATCACATCCCTTCCATCATGCAGACACCCTTCCCAGCCTCCCTGCAAACAACCCAGCCCTGCATCAGGCTCAGAAAGCCTGGCACGCAGCACCAGCCGAGGGGCCACGGTCATCACCCAGACTCCGCAGCAAGAATATGATGGGGAGGCATCGTATGCGGAGGGGGCAGGGGCAAATTTATTAACACTGTGTTTGACAAACCCCACTATGCACCAGGAACTGTTCTCAGTGCTTCACAAATACTGATCAGTTAATTCTCACAGCATCCCAACAGGCATTCGTCTTCTCTCCATTTTGTAGATGGCACAGAGAGGTTTTGTGACTTGTTCAAGGTCACACAGCCCAAGGAGGTGGTGAAGGGGGGCTTTGAACCTGGGAAGTCCAGCTCCCCAGTCCATGTGTTAGCCATTCCAATAGGTCTAAACTCACACAAAATGATTCCAATGCAAGCAGTCAACTGTTGGCAGAGGAGCGAGGTGCCATACCAGAAGCATAGATTAGTAGTCCCCCCTTATGTAGAATGTGACAGGGGCCTGCAGAGGCTGGGAGAGATGCCTCACCCCCTGTACTCTGTCGCTCTGGCTTCCTCTCACTCCCTGCCGATTTTCTAGGCTTCATCATGTCTGGAATGCTATGACGGGTCCAATGACACTCTCTCAGCCGCATCGATGTGACACACCCATGCACAACAAGCCTGCTTGCCCTCACTACTGGCTTTCCCAGCTGAGAACGTCACAGCCCTGGGAGCCCAGGAAAGAAAGGCACGAAGTCTCCCTGGTGGCACCCGACACAGGTGCCATTTTATTTTTACTTCTAGGTGTTCAGTCCTCTTCCAGACTGCAAGCTCTGCGGGGCTGTACCTGCTTCCTGCTCACAGGACCTCACACGGCGATGAGCTAGGACAAACGGTGGGGATTTGTGGAGGGCATGAGCAAGGACTCAACGGGGAGGGAGCGGAACCCACCCCATGGCCTGCGTGCCCTCGCGTCTCAGCACTCTCTGCCTGAACCCCTTCTTCTTGGCGCCCGGATGCCTCTGGCTGCTTTTCCCAGACACTGAGCAGCAGTCTTTTCTCTGCACCTCTCCCCAGGGCAGTTACTCGTAGAGAATTCCTGTGGTTTGTAACTGGCAGAGTCCTGAGAGATCGTATGAGCCCATTCTTCAGAAGGAGAAAACTGAGCCCCAAGAATGAGGAAGTGGCCCTCATTCCTCTCTGCAGGGACTGTCTCCTCTAATCACAGGAGGATCAAGGTCCCCCTATAACCTGCAGTCTCTGCATAGCGAGGCTGCTGAGTTCTAGCCTATGACCGAGCTCAATTCCCATCCGCCACATGCCCGTCGAGTCCCTGAGAGGTGTCGCGTCGGCCCCACGCTGAGCTGCTTCTCTGCGTCTGAACTTGTCTGGTCTGTCTTCAGTGGAGCAACAACAGACATCTGGATGGGCGCTGGGAGCTGGTGAGGGGGCTCCCATCTCTTCGAGGCTTGCAAAGATTCGTGTTAATTTGATTTTCATGTGAAGTCACAAACGCCTGTTCAGTAGCACGCCAGGAGAAGGAGTAGAAGTTTATCATCCTAAAATTACATAACTGTTTTCCTTATGTTAACTTTATACTTTATATTTATATTTCTTATATAAGATCTCCTTTATAGGACTAGGTTCGTCTTATAATTAGCTCACTTGGCTTAGCCCTTAGATATGAAACTATATATTTTTTTTCATTACTTTAATTCTAAAAGACAAGACTCCAGCTTGAAATGTTCCTGAATTTCAAAGACCATGCCTTAGACAGTCTGAATATGCATAGGCCTCCAAATGCCCCGTTACCTATGCATTTGGCTTTTTTTTTTTCCTCTGTGGTTCCCAGCCTGATTCGATTTTATTTTGAGCACAAACATAGTAAAAGAATGAAGGGGCAAAGTCAGAAAATGGTGCTACTTCCTGCTGCCCCTGGGGAGGAAGAGGCCACGCATACTTTCCTGCCCCATAGGGTGGAGATGAGAAGGAAGAGTCCACACTTTGGGAAGAAGTGGAAAAACGCTCTTTAACTCGTTGGTCCAAACTGGCTCATCTCAAAGGAGAGAACAGACTGGGGGTGGGGTGGGGATCAGCATCCTGGCTTTGCCGCCAGTTTCAGGGGAAGGAATTTTGCATATCTGTGGTGCAGAAGTAAAGAGCATCTCCCCTTCAACAACAAACTCAAAAGGCCTTTAACGCATCTGAACATGTAGGTTAGCGTCACGAGGAATGGCACTGGGAATAACTGATGAGCAGCTGCAAGCCCATATGTTGGGGTGTTTTCCTATCTGAACAGAATATTCTGCCGACAGGATCTCGGTGAGGATGAGTGACCAAGCTCTTAGGCTTGGCATTTCCCTGCCTTCTCTGCATTTCCAATTCTTTGCTGCCAGAGCCTTCTCTCTTGCTAGCTTTGCTTTCTCCAGGAGGTGGATGGTATATGGAGGGCTCACAGAAGTCTCTAGACAAGAGGTGGACGATGGTGGGAGCCCCTGCACAGCCTGGTCTTGGGTTGAGTTGTGACCTACAACTGCTCTGAGTATTGGGCCTCATCAAGTCCTTGAAAGCTCAGCTGCCTTATTGCCATAGGTCCACCTTCTCACAGCCCCTCAGGGCCTGGGAAAGAAGGGCAGGAGTCTCTTGAGAGGGTTCTGTCTCAGTTCTTACTGGTTCCGCCATGCTCCCTTTCTGCCACCAGGACATTCTGTGCACACCAGTAAGGCCCTCCTGGAGATCGACAGCCCCACAGCAGAAGTGGAGGACTTCCGGAGGCTAGGAGGAGCGAGAAAAGCAGAGGAGAAGCTGACTGTGGTATTGAGAAAAGAGACAACCTTGTAAGTGAGGCCACAGATACTTTTCCTGGGATCTAACACCTCACCATCTATTGTAAGGAAAAGGTAACTGTCTCCGTTTTGCTGGAGGAATGATGACCCGCATCTTAGTTTGGTTCCTACCCAGAAATAGATCCTGGAACAAGGATTCAACGGCAATTTATTTGAGAGGCTCAGGAAACTTCAGTAGAGGAGTGAGGAAGCGATACAGAGAAGAAGAGGCAGCCAGTAAGTGTGTATGTTATGCCAGCTACACAGAGGTCATCTGGAGCTTAACCCTGCAGGGACTGGCCTGTTTTACGAAATACATCATATACTTTATATAGTTCAATATGTTGAAATATATTATGATACATTTCCCTGAAGGGAAATTATGTAAAATACACACCTAAAATTAGTTCCACTGAGGGTCGAGGTAGCTGGGGTATTTACACACCAACTTCTGAGAGCTGTCCTGGGGGCTGACCATTCCCTGGCAGGTCTGGGCAAAGCAGCCTTCTACAGCTTCAAAAAAACCTCCTGACAACAGTGGCGCTTGGCACTGGTCTGGAGCACTCTGCTGCAGTTGGAGAGGAGGGAAATGCACAGGGCGTGGACAGTCTGCTGCAACATAGCTGTGAAGTGATTTATGCCACGGGAGTCTGACAGACTGGAACAGAGTTACAGTGTTTGTTTGTTTTAAACTTCTTCATGCTTCCAGCATCCTGATCTTCTGCTTTGCATCTGAGCACAGTCATTTATTCATATTCACCCTTGAAAATTAATTTTAAAGCAGAGGAGAGGACGATAGTGGATCCAGGAAAACATTACACTGGGGGCCTTCTAAAACATCCAGAAGTTGATCTCTGTGTTAAGAGAGTTTCTTGTTCACCTGACATCCATTCTGCTTTTCTGCCTTCCTACAAAACGCCAATTTTGTTTAAGGCTGTAAGATGCCCAGCTAAAATTATTGCATTTTTTGGCTGCCCTTAATCTGTGACACAGTTCTGGTCCATGAGATATAAATGGAAGTCTCTTGGTGAAGTTTCAAAAAAAGTTTGTGAAAAAAGCAGATTCTGAAGGTTGTTTTGCATTTTCCCTTTCCTCCTGCCCACCATGCACAGCTGGTGCAAGAGTTGGAGCTCTATCTTGCACCCCAAAGGTGAGAGCGTGCAGTTAACAGCCATGTGTTTCCGCATGGCACGGTGGTTAAGAGCAGGAATCTCTTGGGGGACTTCCAGATTCACATCTCACCTTTGACACAACCCACTGGGTGACCTCGGGCAAAGTACTTAAAACCGGTTGCCTAATTTTTCTCAACTGTAAAACGAGGCTATTGCTGGTGCCCGCCTCTTGTGTTTGCCCTAGGTTTAGGTGAGTTAATAATTGTGGAGTGTTTGTAACACTCCTTGGTGCCTAGTAAGTTCTCTCCAAGCGTTTGATAAATACAGAAACATGAGCAATGACTGCACTGGAGTGAACAGTGTCGCCCCCAAATTCATGTCCACTTGGAACCTCAGAGTATGACCTTATTTGGAAATAGGGTCCTTGCAGATATAATTAGATAAGTTAAATGAGGTCATACTGGAGAAGGGTGGGCCCTGATCCAATGTCTGGTGTCCTCATAAGAAGAGAAAACACAGACACAGGGAAGACGCTCTGTGAAGACGGAGGCAGAGATGGGAGTGAGGCGTCTATAGGCTGAGGAAGGTCAAGGATGCCAAGAGCCACCACAATCCTGAAGAGGAGGGCAGGACTCTCCCCAGGAGCCCTCAGCGGGAGTGTGGCCCTGCCAACACTGTGACTTTGGAGCTCTGGCCTCCAGAACAGTGTGAGAAGAGATTTCTGTTGTTTGAAGCCACCTAGTTTGCGGGGCAGTGTGACAGCAGCCTCAGGAAACTGGCACAATGACTGAGCCCCACAGAGAAGAACCTGGATGCTCGATGCATCGTCACACCCACCTTGGACCTCTCCCTCCAAACATGTTTGGAGAGAAGACTAAGATGTTGCTTATTCAAACCTTTTTTTCTTTTGTTCTCTTACTCACAGATAATCGCAGTCCTATCTGATACAACCTGGGAGACGTCCTCGTCATTTTTCATAGATCTTAGGCTGAAAAGAGTAAGTTAATTGCCTATTGTCCCTAATGAA